TCTTCAGTGGATCTGTGGCCTTCTGTCCAGTTCCTGTGCAGTGTATCAAAAAACCTTGGCAATTGCTTACTCCCAATTTCAAATATTCCTCAAAATATTGCAAAAACTGAATCAGTTCTCAAAACACTTCTAGCAGCCACAGTGAATCTCCTCCTTAAGAGGTGCAGTTTGCCTTTCAGCAGCATTAAGTGGGATTGAGTTCCCTGGAAGAACATGCATAACCTGCACTGCAATGAACAGACACAGGTTCATAAAGTGCTGTACTATAGTCTCCACTCTAGTTTTGAGGGTGGTCCAATTTAACCTTCACACATTTTCTAGCACAGGTCATGGGAACACAATTTGGGTGATGAACACCAGATGCTTTCTCGTTTTCAAACCTTAGGAGATTGTTACCAACTGTGGCACTCCCCAGGTCCCATGCTGTAAATTAGTACAGTGAAAAGTAGCAACGATCATCATGAGGGTGTGAACCTTAAGGTGCTGTTTGTGAGGGGCCATTCAATATTCTTTCATACCAGGTGCTGTGAAAAATCAGACTGGTGTGTTATAGATGGATTTCTTTATTAGCCTTTGAGTCAGAGTAATAATCCAAGAACAACTGACAGTGGTTAATGTTGCAGTAATAAAAGGTTATCCACATTATATTGGGCTTTGATAGATCAGAGTGTTATGTTAATAGGAATGATATATCGGTGGGACATTGACAGCCTTTCTATGTTAGTAATATTTCTCAGTGTCATGAGGAGCATAGACAAGGTGAATAGCAAGGGTCTTTTCCCCAGGGTAGAGGAGTTCAAAACTAGGGGGCATCATGTGTGGAATGAATTGCCAGAGGAAATGGTAGATGCACATGCAGTTAGAACATTTAAAAGATGTTTGGATAAGTACATGAATAGGAAAGGTTTGGAGGGATATGGGCCAAACACAAGTAGGTGGGGCTAGTTTAGTTTGTGAACATGGTTGGCATGGACTAGTTGGACCAAAAGGTCTGCTTCCGTACTGTATGACTCTCTGTGTGTTTCATGTATTTATTCCATTTTTAATGAAGCAGAAATAGTTGGGAATTTGCACCAGTGATAAGCATTTATAAAGAGGTAAGATAGTTCATGCTTTTAATGTAGATGCTCCCCAGATCAAGTATGTTTCAGTTTTGTATTTTTTTTTAGTTGCTTTATCTGCATTATGAATCCCTTTCAGTTAAATTATTTGAATGGCCATACCATTATGAACCAAGGTGGTAAATCTTTATGGACCTGAATGGTCTCACAATATTACAAACCAGTCATTCCTCCCTAGTTCTCAGTAGATAGCTCACTGCCTGAAACTGCTGGAGACTGAAATAGCCCAAGAAGATCCCAGCTTTGTTCTCCTATGGTGTTAGCTAAACTCTGCTGAGATAATGGCATTTCCAGAACTGACCTCAGTGTTTCAGTAAATAAATTACTTGCATTTATAAAGCACCTTTCACTACCTCAGGGAATCTCAAAGTCCTTTGCAGCCATTTATGAAGCGTAACCATTGTTGTGCTGGAAGGTGATGAAGCTTTTATTCTGAACACAGCAAGGTATAAGTATAGAAGGTGAGTGACTTCAGCACCAATGTGGCCATAGAGGGTTAAAGCTACTGCTGTAAGAAAAGATTTACATTCATATAGCAATATCCATGGTCTTGGAGCATACGAAGTACTTTAGAACTGATGAAGCCCTTTTAAAATAATGTAACTATTGGAACTTGGGAAAAATGGCAGCCAATTACTGCACAGCAAGGAATCAGATCACTTATTTTTGTCACTTGTTTTAGTCACATTGCCTAATTCACCAGAGAGAACAAAACACCTCTTCTTCCCCAAAATGGGGGCATAAAATCTTTCATATTCACATAACAAGTTAGCCAGGGCCTCAGCTTAACATTTGATCTGATAGAGTGCTCCTCCATCAATGCAACATTCCCTCAGCACTACACAGGAGCCTCAGCTGGAATTATACATTCAAGCCTCTGAATTGGGCTTAAATCCACAGCTCAGAGTGAGGGGGCAGAATGAGAGCTCAGAGTGAGAGAGCTGCTCAGGTAATGGAGTCACTCAGAGGTCAGGAGGAGTCCCAGTGCTCACTCTGAATGTGCTGTCGGCTTTTCCCTGTGATATTTCAGAACGACCTATCTCTGATGTGAAGGTCTCAGAGATGAGCATTTTATCCAATGACCTGCAGCACAGAATAGCACAATGTCAGCTCCTCAGCAGAGATCACCGTGGAGGACAATGCAATTTTATAACCTGCGGATGCAGAAAGTGAGAGTGCTAGAACTGAGCTAAGGATGAAAAACTTTAAAAGGTGGAGAATGATCCAGGATGCTTGTAGAATTCCAAATCTGACCTTACCAATCATCCACAGTGATATTTCACGTTTCCTCCATTCAGTCTTTAGCTGCTGCGATACTAGAGTGTGAAGCGATTCCCACTCAGCACCTAGTGACCATCTCAGTCATAGGAGACAACAGAGAGGGGTTTCACCCCAAAACTGTGTTGTAGCAGGAAGTGGAGGAAGAGAGGGCAGGGCCAGCACTGCCAGAAATTTGCTGTCAATGTCCCACTCCAAAACCATCCAGTCTAGGAACCGTCCCAGAAGACCATTTGTTCGCAAGATCACAAGCTGAGTCAGCAGGTTTAAGAGAAGATGGCGAAGGAGAAGACCAGCAAATCCAATAGCTAATATTTCATGGAATCATAGGGTATAGAACAGGCCATCAAATCGACACTGCAAAAATATTCCCATACCTGCACCAGTTCCCACTTTCCAGCACCAGGCACATTCATAGCTTTGAATGTTATGACATTTCAGGTGCTCATCCCAGTACTTTTTAAGGGTTGCGAGGTTTCCTGCCTCAACTACCCTCCCAGGCAGTGCATTCCAGACCCCCACCTCCCTCTGGATGAAAACGTCCTTTCCTCCAATCCCCTCTTAAACCTCCTGCCTTTCAAGTGTGCCCCCTTGTTTCTGACATTTCTACTAAGGGGAACTTTCCTTTTCACCCTGTCCATGCCCCTGATAATCATATACGCCTCAACTGAGTCTCCCCTCAACCATCTCTGCTCCAAAGAAAACAACCCCAGCCTGTCGAGCCTCTGTTCGTCGCTGAAATGCTCTATCCCTACTAAGATCCTGGTAAATCTCCTCTGCACCTCCCCCCTTCCAGTGCAGTCACCTCCTTCCTACCTCCATTCCTATCCCCACACCATTTCCTATGACCTCCTCGCATCAAATTATTCCCTTTTAATTACATTCGATAGCAGTTTAACATTGCTAAGGGCTGAATGTTCTTCTTAAATCCATTCTTGGGATGTGGGAATTATTATTATCTGCCCTTAGTTGTCTGTAGGAAGTTGGTGATCTTTGACATTGCTGGAAGTCAAGGTGTAGGTCCAAAGTCACATTTCAGCCAGGCAGGGTACAACCAGCAGGTTATCTTCCGTAAAGGACCTTAATTAACCTGTTGCGGTTTTACACAACTTAACAGTTTATTAATGTTAGTGAAAACAGGCTTTTCAAAATAAAATGCAAATTCTCCCAGAGATTTGAACTCTCACCCACTGATTGTTAGCCCAGTCACATAACGACACAAGAGCCAACAACTACTACAGCAAACACCCAAAATACAACTGTAACTGCACAGTTGTTACAATAAAACTTGCCAAACAATTAGCAGCTTATTCCCCTCTACTGTAAATTGTGTAGTTGTTTGGAATTTGACATTCTTGCATTTGTCCTGATGAGTGGAAAATGCAAAATGTCCACGGTGCGTCAGTCTTTTCTGCAAAGTTCATGGACAATTGTCAGACATTCATTAAAATACTTCCTTTCATTCTAGGCTCTGGCAATGAGAACTCTCTCTGGTGAGCTGTCAGTTGGTGTTTCAAGATTGAGTCACCTTCCCCAACACTTTCTCTCGGTGGAACTCTTCATGGAGACAGAAGATTACAAACTGGGATCTCACACAGCACAGCAGAAGGAAGACAGTCCCTGCTTCCGAAACTATTCCCAGTTAAAGAGGAGACCCAGAGCTTAGAGTTGACGAGGAGCCCTGAAACAGGTTCAGCCATAAATAGGAGAGCCATAGCCCAGAGAGTGGGGTTGGGGGGAGACTGAGACCTCAGAGTGAGGGGTGCGGAGACTGAGACCTCAGAGTGAGGGGTGCGGAGACTGAGAGCTCAGAGTGAGGAGGGAAGACTGAAAGCCCTGAGTGAGGAGGGGAGACTGAGAGCCCAGAGTGAGGAGGAGAGACTGAGAGCCTAGAGTGAGGGGGTGCGGAGACTTCAGAGTGAGGGGGAGAGGGTGAGAGCTCAAAGTGAGGGGGGGCTGACAGCTCAGAGTGAAGGGGCCTGAGAGCTCAAGGTGAGGGGGGAGACAGAGAGCTCAGGGTGAGGGGTGGGGAGACTGAGAGCTCAGAGTGAGAGGTGGGGAGACTGAGAGCTCAGAGTGAGGGGTGGGGAGACTGAGAGCTCAGAGTGAGGGCTGGAGAGACTGAGAGCTCAGAGTGAGGAGTGGGGAGACTGAGAGCTCAGAGTGAGGGGGGAGACAGAGAGCTCAGAGTGAGGGGTGGGGAGACTGAGAGCTCAGTGTGAGGGGGAGACAGAGAGCTCCTCAGAATGAGGGAGGAGAGTGAGAACTCAGACTGAGGGAGTTGCTCAGCTAGGGAGGGGGTCACTCAGAGGTCAGGAGAAGGTCAAGTGCTCAGAGCATGTTCCTGAAGACAGCTTCACTCTGAATCTGCAATGGACTTTGTCCTGTGATATTTAAGAAGGACCTATCTCTGATGTGGAAGACCGGAGGGTCTGTTTCCGTGCTGAATGACTCTATGACCAGTGCAGCAGGGGAAAAGTGCAGCCCCTGTCTGATGCCACTCTTGGGGACAGTGCAGTCCAACTGGCCAAGAATCCATTCAATGTGCTGAAACTTGCCAGTGCTGGAGTTTACCCTCTACCTGTTGCTCCAGAATCCAAGATGAACAGTAATTATCCCAGGTCTCTGATGGACAGGAGATCAGTAACTGCCCCTAACTGCATGCAATTGGCAGTGCCTCTACCCCCCGAGCCATCCACACACCAACATTTACCCCGTGGAGACAGTTTAACACATTTGCCCTTCCTGGTGTATCCAACTAACTTGGAGTCAGCCTATTATGACACTTACAGCAGCATGTTTCCCTACATGCCCTTCCACGGGCACTTTGGGGTCTATGACTGTCCCTTTGAGCCTGCCTTCATCCAGAAGAGAAACGAGAGGGAGAGGCAGAGGGTGAAGTGTGTGAACGAGGGCTATGCGAGACTGCGAGACCACCTTCCGGGCCCCCTGTCAGAGAAACGCCTGAGCAAAGTGGAGACCTTGCGAGCAGCTATCAGGTACATCAAGTACCTGCAGGACTTACTGAGCCAAAGTGCAGCCAGGTCCCCACCTGGAACACAGCAGAGCCGGCCCAGCAGCAGTGAGGGGCCCCAGCAGGACTGTAACAGTGACGGCGAATCCAAAACCTCCTCCCCTTAGTGCGAGTCTGTGTCCAGCTCTGACAGGAGCTGAGAAAACAGTACAGCACCCCAACACCCACACCGTCCCCAGTGACTGCCTGAGCAAACAGCTCCTCTGATTTCTGGATCTGTCACACTGCAAATGGCAGCACCTTCTGTAAAGACAAAGTGACTCTGAAGGTATGACCCTGGTGCCTATCGAAGTGGAGTGGCAGCATCTGCAAACCTGGATCAGGAAAGGACAATGCTGCGGAGAATCATGGCAGAGATCATCCAGACTGGGATCCAGATTGAGTCAGACAGGATTCAGACTGGGAAATTAGGTCACACAGGATCTGGATTTGAAAACTGGGATAAACGGGATCTGGATTAGGGCAAACCAGATGTGGACTGGAAAACTGGAACAAACAGGATCCAGACTGGGACAAACAGCACCTGGATTAGGAAACTGGAGTAAACAAATACAGATTGGGAAACTAAAACAAATGGAATCCAGACTGGGATTCAGTAGATAATGTCTTGGAAATTGTGGGATGAACAGACTGCAATACATGGCACATGGGATCAACAGGTGATGGAGCTGTGAGATTATGACAATGCACATGAACAAACTCTGGATAAACTGTGGAACAGGAGAGGATGTGTATAGAGTGGCAGCATGTCAATAGACTGACACAGCGAAGACACCTGGAAGGATTTTAATTCCTGTCCCCATTCTGTACGTTCACTGAGCCAGGATCAGAGGGACATGACTGCTCTGGACTCTTGCAGTTCCTATTAACCTTTTGGAAAAAGAACATTGGCAAGGTCAATGCGAAGAGTCTAGATGTGATTCAGCACTGGGGGTGGGGTCGGAGGGGAATGCAGCAAATGGATCAGATTCCCCTCTGATCTCTGTGGGTGGGAGCAGGAGCGTGTTAGAAAACAAAATGCCGCTGTTTGAAAGGTGTTTGCGAGTATTCCAGTTAATGATAGCCTTTCCTGTGTGTCGGGAATGAAAACAGAGATTCAAAAGCCAGAGACCATCCATATTTCAAGGTAAAAGCATCACCCAAAACAGCTTGTGATGCAATCCGTCATATCAGGGCACTTTGTGTAGGCAGAGACAGACAGCAAGAGTTTAAATCATTCAAACTAATCTGTCTAAAAGTTAGACCTTAGCACAAAGTGGTGGCATTTGGGCAAAATGGTGTAGGGTTCAGCCCCCATTCTGTGCTGAGTTATCTGTTTATTGTGACTAGCCCCCAAGGACACTGGAGTCAATCAGCATCTACAAGATGCTACAGGCAGTTAACATTGTGGTACTATAATCTATCTCCACAGAGATCATACAGACTGCTCTTGACACCAGGGAATAATCATCACGCTATATGTGTTGTTATGATTGAAGTTAGGGTGAAAATTCTTTGATGACTGGAGTCATACCCAAGGTGTTCTTTGATTTTTGCGTGTTTGACCTGGCAATCTATATAAGAGTGAGGGCACCTTCCAAACTATGACCACTAGAAGGACAAGGGCAGCAGATTTAAGGGGACATACCACCACTTGTACATTCCTCTCCAAACCACTCACCATCCTGACTTGTCGCTCAATCAAAATCCTGGAACTCTCCTCCTAACAGCACTGTGACTGTCCCTACACTCCAAGAACTGCCAGGGTTCGAAAAAAGGCATGCTCAGTATCACCTTCTCAAGGGCAATTATGGATGGGCAGTTAATGCGGGCCCAGCCAACAGATCTTACATCCCTTGTATGAATAACAAAAATACGTCTACCAAAAAGGTATTCAATGACCATACTTCCACCACTCCGTAGGAAAGACAATTCTGAATACTCACCAAGGTGCAATATCATCATGGTTGTTCTGCCTTAGCATCACTTTCCTGCCCATTCTGTGTCCCTCAATTCCCAGAGAACAAAAATGTGTGTCTCTCCGCTTTGGTGTCCCATAGTGACAGCGGGTCCTTTTAAACTGATTCCAGACTGGCCGAGCCCCTGTGCAGCCATTCAGTATCATTAAGGTCAGAAATACCTTGCAGGTTACAGTGGTCGTGCAGTCTACACGTTGACTGACACTATCAAGGAGAGTCTCTGAGGGTCAGTCAGTTCACTTTTCTGGATGGTTGGTTTGCAATGCAGAGAACCACCAACAGCATGGGTTCAATTCCTGCACCAGCTGAGGTTACCATGAAGGATTCTCCTTCCCAACCTCAACAATCGGCTTCCGCAAGAGGATGAACAGACTGCAGTGACCACCACTGTCATTAGCAGAATGGGCACAACAGTTAGTTACTGCTGGAACGTTACTGTCGGTCACCACTTGGGGTGCTACATCTAGGGTTAGTTTACAGGCGCTGCAGTTAGGGCATTACTCAGTGGTACCACTCACTTACTGTGCATGTAGGGCCATTACTGCTGGAATGCCACTCATAGCAGTCCAGTCGATTAGAACTGGGGCTATGTCGTCAATTTCCATCAGGACCATTGGATTGAGGAAGCCTCAAAGGACAATACAGACAAGGTACATGGGATGCACTAGCGATAGGCTACCATTAATGGCACCTTCAAACAGAGGGCACAACTGATATATCAACAGTCCAATCATCTCCTCAACAATGTTGCAACTCATACCACAATGGCACAGTGGTTAGCACTGCTTCCTCACAGTGCCAGGGACCCAGGTTCGATTCCAGCCTTGGGCGACTGTCTGTGTGGAGTTTGCACAATCTCCCTGTGTCTGTGTGGGTTTCCTCCGGGTGCTCTGGTTTCCTCCCACAGTCCAAAGATGTGCAGGCTGGGTGGATTGGACATGCTAAATTGCCTGTAGTGTTCAGGGAGGTGTAGATTAGGTGGGTTATAGGGGGATGGGTCTGGATGGGATGCTGTGTGGTTCAGTGTGGACTTGTTGGGCCGAAGGGCCTGTTTCCCACTGTAGGGATTCTATGATAGCAAGGTGTCAGGAGGGGAAGAGGAAGAAGGAGAGTAAAGCTTTCTATTCCTTTAGCCAGTTAAATCTAGCAGGAACATGGGGACCTCCAAGATCTGATCTGAAGTAGAATATTGTTTCTAAACTGTGTAAAGAGATACCCTGCTGCCCTCTGATGGGAAACACTAGTTGCTACATGTATTTATCACACTTCCTACACAATAAACTGTCAGCAGAATAAGGAAACAAAACATATTTAACTGGCATCTTTCACATCTGCAAGATACCCTAAGGAATTTCACACAGGTATTTTTGAAGTGCAGTGTTTCTTGTTTTGTGAGGCCACACAGCAATCAATTTACACACAGCAAGGTCCAAGAAATTGTAATGAGATAAATCTCTTTTGTAATGTTGTTTAAGGGATATGTGATAATCTTTGCTCGTCTTTCAAATACTTCTGTGGGATTACTACATCCAGCTGGAATAGAAGACAGGAGCTCGGTCAAATGGCTCATCCAAAAGACAGCACCTCCAACAGTGAAGTATTCTCTCAGCAGCCCAATACCAGCCTGGGTTGTACTGGGAATGGAACAACCCAGCCTTCTGAGTGGGAGACAGCTGTGCTTCCACTAAGTCTCATTTGAAAAGACCATAAAGAGAAATGGACAAGGATGGGAAAGGGTCACTCAGTTTCTCTTGCTGCTCCATTATGTCTCACAGCTCAGTATTTAACTGTGCTTCAGCAAATCCTATTGACTGTGTCTCTGTTATCCCACCTCACAGAGTAGTCTGGAGATGTGACATTCCTTCATGTTTCAACATCTAATTAAATTTATTTTCTATCCATTTGTACTTATGGCCTCTGATGCTTTTATCCTGTTCACTGAATATAACTTAATTGATACCGTTTACTGGAATCTAGAAGATCAACAATGGCAGTCCTCACAAATAGTTTGAGGTCTTAAGTGTCACGCTGAGGTAGGCCAATGTTCAGGTAACATGTGGAGATTGCTGCCTTTTAGAGACGATTTGTTGTCAATGCACAGGTACTGTCTCCTCTTCTGAAAAACACATCAGAAAAATGGTAGGAAAGGACTGGACATTTTTATTGTACTTTATTACAGGAGAGTTGAATCGTAATGTTTTTGTTGAAACTGTTGGATTCAGACTGTCATGGACACTTAAAACATACTTAAAAAATAGCCTGGCATGTTTCTTAGCAGAAACAAGTGCGTGCTGCTGTAAACTAACTGTCTCAAATAGGGGCATTAAAGATGGAAATTATTAACATTGTACAGAATGTTGATAACTCAATATGCTCATATATTTTTAAAATCCAATCATTTGAATTAAACAATACAAATAACATGGTGATGTTGGGGTATGCTACTAAAATTTTGAATAATCAATTTACAAGGATAATCCTGGGAGTATGTCCAGGCAAGTTATTTGGATGGAACTGAAAAATAAGAAACAGATGGTCACCTTATTGGGATTGAATTATAGACCCCCCAATAGTCAGCGGGAAATTGAGAAGCAAATTTGTAAGGAGGTCTCAGTTATCTGTAAGAACGGTAGGGTGGTTACAGTAGGGGATTTTAACTTTCCAAACATAGACTGGGACTGCCATAGTGTTAAGGGCTTGGTTGGAGAGAAATTTGTTAAGCATGCCCCAGAAAATTTTCTGCTTCAGTAAGTGGATGAACCTATGAGAGAAAGTGCAAAACTTGACCTACTCTTGGGAAATAAGGCAGGGCAGGTGACTGAGGTGTCAGTGGGGGAGCCTTTGGGGCCAGTGACCTTAATTCTATTAGTTTCAAAATAGTGATGGAAAAGATCTAAAAGTTAAAGTTCTAAACTGGAGAAAGGCCAATTTTGACAGTATTAGGCAAGAACTTTCAAAAGTTGACTGAGGGTAGATAATTGCAGGTAGAGGATGGCTGGAAAGTGGAAGCATTCAAAAATGAGATAACGAGAGTATGTTCCTGTTAGGATGAAGGGCAAGGCTGGTAGATGTAGGGAATGCTGAATGACTAGAAAAATTGAGGTTTTGGTCAAGAAAAAGAAGGAAGCATATGTCAGGTATAGACAGCA